GTTTGACTGCATGTTTTTGTTATTTCTCTGTCAAAATTTAATCGGGCATTCAAATCATTTTCAGATCAATTTAATGTAGGATTTATGTCAAAAATTGATTTGTGTTTGATTACTCTATTGGTTTTCTGTCAAAGGAATTTTCCAAAACTTCACCAAATCATGTCATCCTCTAAGCCTAGGAGAAACCCCCCTCGCCCATCTTCCAAACGAAAGAAAACTAGTCACACTGAGCAAGCCGAGGCTAGCAATGTCGAGCCCCTGCCAGTTTCCAACCTTGCTCTTTTAGCTATGAAAAATTTCTATGACATTAAGTTCCTTCATAGAAAAGTTACTTTCGGGAAAGTTTTGTCAAAATCCGAATGTGAGGCCCTTCATCTCAACACTTACGAACTCTTTGATGCCATAGGATTGGGAAAGTATGTAGCTATGAATATCCCATTCTATCCTCCTTTGGTTCGTCTCTTCTACACCCATCTCAAAAAAATTCCACACAACTTGCAAGTAGAATCCTTTGTTGCAGGTACTAGCTTTACCTTAGATATTCCTACCATTTGAACAATTCTTGACTTACCCGAGGATCCATCAAGTATTTCACCACCTTCACATGGTACCAAGGGGAGGGATTCAATGAGCTTGAGGCCATTCAGCAAATGAGCTACAACAAGCGGATCACAAATACTCACAAAGTTCACGCCAAACAACTCACTTTAGAAGCTCGGGTCATTTAAAACATTATCATGTATGCAATCCTTCCCAAATCCGGAGGTCTTTCTGATTTCTCATACATGGAGGCATTCCTCATTTGGTGCATCCTTAATGGTAAGGATTTTGATCTTGTTTTTCTAATGTTTTATCATATTCTTGAGTGCCAAAAGAGTGAAGACAAACACCTTTTTTATGCCATGCCATTGAGTCTCATCTTTCTAGCAAAGGGGGTATCCGTTGGATGGGAAGTGAAAAAGGATCAAGGGCCCCGGAACAAACTCACATCCACCACTCTTGGATTAATGGGATTTAAAATGGATAATAGTGGGCATTGGTTCAATCCAATTGAACGCGTTTGGAATGAGGCCTTAGAAATGGGAGAACTTCGAGATGATGGGGAATTTTTCGTCTTTCCCAATATTCCAGCTCCTGTTGTGCATGAGGATGATGACCATGACGAGCCCCCTCCAGTTGATCCTTATGTTCCTCTGCCACCTCTACAGACCGATCCGGTTATTCTCGAGCTCCTCACGCAGCAAAATACTCTTCTCCATGAGCATATCAGCATCTCTCGCTGGACTGAAGCTAAAGTCAATGATGTGGTCGGTCGTCTAGACACAATTGAGGGTGATGTCGACGCCATCAAGAAGAATCTCGAGGAACTGCGTATGGCTGCTGATCTTCCTCCCTACTGAGGCTTTCTCTGCATTACTTTTCCTTATTTTGCAGTCTTTATTTTGCCTCTTTATGCTATGTTTTTCTTTTTGAGGATGACAAAAAGGGGGAGAAAATGTAGTTGATGTTTGATTGACAATTGGTTTATTTTGGTGGTGTTTTGGCTGAAACTATGTTGATGTGTTTCTAGTTGTAGTTGTTAACACGGGATTATTCTGGATAGACTGTTTTAACCTTGGATAGACTATTGTACTCATTTTTCTAAATATCAATGTTAGTCTCTATATAATTCTCTGGATATGTCTACTTGTCAATTTTATATACAATGCATAAAAATAGGGGGAGACTTATATGAAAAATGCCTATTTCCAGTTGCAACCTTAAATTGTCTTTAATTACCTGCTATGAAGTACAAATGAGCATAATGATAGGGGGAGCTTGTTTAAATGTAACTCCACTTATCTCTAAAATACATCATTGTTTTGGTGATCGTCAAAATTGGTTTTAGGGTTAACAGAAATAACAAAGCAATTTTATTAGTTTTTGTTCAGTTCTGATTCTCTGAAAATTGTTCTTGAAAACCATTGTCATACTTGCAATCCAAGCAATTTTAGTAGTTAATATGAAATATAAATATATTCAATTCAATTAAATTGAGTAATCCTTGAATTTTTCCTTTTTTACCACACTATTTTGTAATGTTAATTGTAATTAAAACTTGAGAACATTATAATTGAACTCTAGTGTACGGTCAAAATTAAGGAACAAAAAGATGGATAAATCATAATCTAAATATAAATTCATGAATAAAGCAGCAATTGATGACTTGTGGAAAGATTCAACCCCCGTTTGGAATTGCGTTTGCAACATTTAAAAGCGCGCTCAATTTTAAAAATAGTGTTTAATAGTGTTTAGGGGATAGAGGTTTAATAAAAAAATGGCATTTCGATGAAGCTAGAAATTGGAGCTTATGAAATTACATTTTGCGTATAAGTTATATCAAAATTCTCTTAGACAATCTAATCTCTCTTTAATTCTAATAATTACATGTTCATCTAGATAAAAAAACGTTTAGGTAAATAATGTGTTTTAGGTGGGACTTTATCACTCATCACTCTTCATCACTGACCGCCATTGTTACCATCACATATCTCTCTTTGCACAATTGATCCCGTACAAATTTGTGTGAGCTTCATACTGAACTTATTGAATTTATATAATATTACACACACACACACACATGCAAGTATCCTACTTGCTCACGGGTTAACTGTTTGTTCATGATTTGGATACTATTGTTTTGCGTGAAGTAACTAAGTACTTGCCTTCTTGATACATTGGTCTTTCAATGCATATACCAAACTACACTGATGTATCATGTGGGTCATGGTTGCATATAGGTATACGTGCATATAACCACTAACAGGAGCATCACATATACCAAACTATATCGATGTATCATACGGGTCATGAAATGGCTTCAATACCCTCTTCTTCATTTTATATTCATAAGGGCAGAGGTTTGTCGATCTGTAGCTCTCGACTTCGTAGTGCCAGCTGTAGGGCTAGGTCACCTAAAATATGCAGGCACGGGCCCTGTTCCATAATCTTCAATCTTTAAGCTATAAGTGAAATGATAAGGGTAAAAATGAGTGATTTGTTTACGTTTAAGAGGATGATGGACACTTTGACGTTACACTAACTTCACTTTCTCAATTACCTTAGGGCTTGGTGGAACCAACTGGTTTCACGTTGGGGTCAACTCTTTTGGAAAAACTATGTGCATCAACCTTTGCTAAAGCTTTATTATGACTAGGTGATGTTGTACTTCTTGACTTCTTTTTTCGGTATGAATCAAACTGCGCTTTTCGAATGGGAGGGGGATCCTGAGAAGGGTATTATTGTCGTTAAATTATTTATTATGTGTTGCGTGACCATCATGTGAGAAAATTATGATTGAAAGCTTGTTGAAGTGGCAATCTACAACCAAATAGAATAGTTTAGGTTTTTTTTTTTTGCACAATTTGTAGTTCAAAGGAGTTTTATGCTAGTTTGGTAACAGTTAAGGGGGGTTTATTGTACTTTATCTTATATATATATATATATATATATATATATATATGAAGCATGCTTTTTTGGTCACAGATTTGGATTTATATTGTAAAATATTATTTCGTTAAATTTTATCATTAAATATCATGTGTAAATATCTGTATTTTATTATTAAAAAAATCTTATATCAAATAAAATTAATGTTTATTAAATATGTTAAATTATTTATATTTGAATAATGCCACATGTTATATGGATAATATAGTAAACTAAATAATAATAATATTTTAAACAAAATTGTTACCAAACAAATTTAAAAAATTTACTTTATATAATGAATCACCAAATGACTAACGTATTATTTGTATGACAGTTTTAGTGATAAAAGCATTTTCACTAATACAAATAAGCAATTGCAACACCTTTTTTCTTTTTTATTAATTTTTTTTTTTTTTTTTCATTCATTGCCAAACAACTCATACATATATCCACTCCGAGAAATATAGAAGATAGAGCCAATGAAACAAATTAGGACAAGTTAAAAAATTTTAAACAACAGAAATACAAATTGAAAATAACAATAACAAGAAACCCATTTGTCAAACAAATTTTTTTTTTTAAGAGACATCGCATTCATAGATTGAGATGAAACAAAGAAAGAAGTATTTATATATATACATATGTATGATTCAAAAGAACACAAACCCTAAAACTGTGAGGACAATTTCAATTTTATTATCATAGATTGAGACGAGACAAAGAAATAAGTATTAGATCATTCATTTCTTGTTGGACCAATGGCCAGATTTGGAGAATAAGATAGAGAGCTCACTTTGGAAGCTTTTGCTTGCTGTGCCGCATATTGCAATTGAACCTTAAACTTGAATCGCTATGATATAAGTTGGGCCATGAGTCGCATAATAATTTTTTTGTTCTAATTGTTGAGATAATTTTTGAGATTATAAAAATACTATAATTAATCCACTATTCTTTCTCCAAATCTCTCAATTTTTTCTCTCTTCAAATCTCTCAATTTTCTTTTTTTTAGAGAATAACTTATGATTTCTTTTCTTTTCCCTCCACTAACTATCCAAACACTAAAATTATCATTTATTTTTTTGTCTTTCAAAATCCCTCCAAATCATTCAATCCAATCAAAGGTATAGAAAAAAATATAAATAAATTTTTGTAAAATATAAATAAAATTTAAAATTAAAGAAAGGTATAGAAAAAATAAATTTTTAAATATCTTATAGTGATAAAACTCTATAAAAAATATATTAATTATCAATAATAAAAAAAAATCTACAGATTCTCTTACGGAGTATTTTATTGGCTACGTTAGCTTGTTACAACTTAATTTATTTATTTCTTTAAAAAAAATGATTTTATTGTATTAAGAAAATTTGAAATAAAGAATAAATTGAGTTTTTTTTTTCAATTTGGTATGAGAATCAATTATGTGTAATTATAAATATAATGGTCAAATAGACCGACTGAATTAATTTTCAAATTTGGTAACTAGAAAAATAGAAAATACTTGAGTAGAAAAACAGAAGAACGAAAAAAAAATAAAATGGGTTTTGCGAAACTAATATAAAGCACAGTAAGAGGTTTGAGAGAGTCCTTTCACCGAACTCTCTCCTTTTTCCAATCAATTATCTTTTGAAGATCGTTCATCGATTCTAGGGTTTCCATTTAGTCTTTTCTCTCTCAAATCAGGTTTTTTTTTCTCTCTCTCTCTCTGCATATTCATACACACACATGTATGCATGTGTACAGTTTACACATACATATATAGATATATATTTGTGTGGGTGTGTGTGATACCCAATCGATTTGCTTGTTTGTTTAGTTCTTCGTTAGTTATGATCAGATTGCCGGATCGATTTTTCTTATTGTTTGTTGATTTCGTGTATTTTTCTCATTACGGCTGTGTATCTGTAATAGTTTACACGTTATGGCTGAAGTTCTTGTTTTGCTTTATTTTGTCGTTGTTACTGTTTACAAAATTGCGACTTTAGTATGAAGATTCCGTTTTCTTAATTTGATTCTATAATCACTTGCGAAGGTTTATGGCAGTTTTTGATGAATTTGATATTGATATTGATATTTTAGGGTTTTGGTGTTGCATTATGGGTAATATTGAAGTGGCATTACGTTGGTTGAACGAAGGGAAGACGATTGACTTAGAGCAGGGATGGGATTTTATTCAGAAAGGGATTATAAAGCTGAAGAACATTCTAGAAGGACTGCCTGAGGCACAGTTCAGTTCAGAGCACTATATGATGCTCTATTCGTATCCTTTGGTCTTTTCATTTGTTTGTCTATTTTAGGTGATTGTTCCATTATTGTGTGTTGTTATTTTCCTTAATTCTATGTGCAGAACTATCTATACTATGTGTACTCAAAAGCCCCCTCACGATTACGCTCAACAGCTGTATGACAAATACAAAGAGTCTTTTGAGGAATACATTACATCAACGGTAAGGAAGACTTTGTCCATCTTATCTATCTTGTGGTGCACTCTGATACACAGATATATACACCTTATTTGTTGTTTCCTTATCGAAAATGAAGTATCCCCAATGATAAATTGCTTACTCTAATTTATATTTGTATTACAAGCTTTGAAGTGGTGTAGAAGTCAACATTAAGTTGATGTTATTGTATTATGCGATTGTGTAAGGAGTGAAATCGCATTAAGTTGTTTTGTTTTGTGCCGCACTTGAGGGGGATATGAACTTATTCTTTGACTGGTGCTTTTACAGTTGGCAATCATTTATTGTTTGGTTTGGGTTGGTCAGTAAGAATTTTTTCATCAAATTAGAATTTCTTAGTTGTTAGGAGAAAAAAAATAAAAACAGGTATCTGTGACTTGTCATCAAGTTCCTCTAAGAGAATTTAGTTACAAAACTAAGGTATTTGACCAAAACAATGGTTTGGCAAAATAGAGAATAAGTTTAGTTATATGTCAAAACTCAAATGATACTTTAATCTTATATATATATAACGTTATGCTGTTGTGGTCAATTGAGGAGACATATATTCTCATTGGGTATCGAAGACTACAGAAGAGAAGGAACTTTTTACTAATGCATTGCCACTTGATTACAAAAATCAGAAATTTATCTTTCTATCATGCATCTTATATTACTAAACTCAACTTGTTCTTTGGTTTTGCATAAACTTAATTTAGTTAGTCAATAGCAAGTCCTCTGCTCAATGATTGGATGTTGATTATGAAATTTGGGAAGTATTTGAGCCCCTTGCCATATTAAAGATACGTTTGGCTTGGCTAGAAGGGGCAAAGATGTCCTGCGGATCACTTAACTTCAACTAGATATATATTTCAACCGAAACAGGATTATTTTAGATGTGTTGGTGCATTTGATATCTCCTGTAAGTGGCTGGTAGATATATGTGTGCACACATGTAAACTTCCAGTTTTGCAAGTCATAGCAATCAACAGCATTGTTTATATCTTACATTTAATTAGATAGGTGTGAACTTGTATACGAGTAGAACCAGAGTTACTTCATAATGAATACATTCTCATATACCATAGAAACCAAATGATTAAGTGATGGTTTGAAAAATCAAATATGACTTGGAAACGTTATCACGCTCGGTGAAAAGAATTGTGAAACCTCTCTTTTTACAGGAAAGCGATTCTCTTTTAATACCATTGAAGATATATACTTGATTTTTTATTATCAATTTTACCTTTGGAGTTAACAGTTTCAGTGATTCAGTGACTCATCTCTTTTGTTACTGGATTTTGAATTGAAGGTATAATTACTTATGGAGTAGTTAATTGGAAATCTCAATTCTGTTCTTTTTGAGGTTACAAATGAAATTTTGTCTTGGATACATAATTCCATGCATATAAATCTTCTTTGTAGGCTTTTGGCTTGAAAGGTCTCTTCTGATGCCCTTTTCATGTACTAAGACAAGGCAGAAGTTAACAATTTGATTCATGTATTAGATGATGATCTATGCATGGCTATTACTACAATCCAAACTTCAAAAATGGATTATTGACTATCAGAAAAAAGATACAGTCCTTTTTGTTTTTGGGCACTGATATAGCGTGAGTGAATTTTAACTGAACCAGATGTAGCGTGAATAAATTTTAATTGAACCAGATGTAGCGTGAATGAACTGATAGTCTAGAGTTCATATATACAAGAAGTAAGAAGGAAGCACTTGTAAGTTTTGGTATCTGGCGTGCAATAAACATATGAAATTGTGAAACGATGCTTGTTGTGTTATTTTCTGATCTAGGTATGACACTGGTTCTTGTGTTGATGTCTCTCTCCTACTTGTAGTGCAATTAAATTCTTTTCTTGGTTATTTTCCTTCCATGCTTCTTGTAGAAATGAAGTTGACCTCTTTTTCCTTTATAATACTTTGCTTTATATTTTCCAAAATAGAAGAAGCAATTCACAAATTTCATCAGACAATTGGGAGAGAGCTAATTTTAGTTGCAGTGTGCTTACATTAAGTACTGAAATTGGGACTTTTTCCTTGTGCATTTATTAGCGGATGAAATTCTTGGGCAGGTTTACTTGAAACCCTTGTCTCATATATTTGGTGATTGTATAGATATTGTAATGAGATAGAATGGGGTTAGTGTAGTTCTTTGGGTGCCCTCCTCTTTGAGTGCTCTTTAATGAATTATTATTTATAATAATAATACAAAAAAATGTATGAACTATAGGGAATTATGATAAGAATTAAATGGTTTTGGGAGAACAGGAAGAAGACAAATACTAACCAGAAATTTAGTAAAAGTTTAATAATTTAAGATAATGGAAATGTGTACTTTAGACAATCCGTTGGTCAATTTTCGCAACGAACTTATTTTACCAAAGGCCTTGTAGCCTAATGGTATCTCCGATGGTGAGGGTTCAAGTCCCCATATGGCAAATGGGTGTGTGAGTACCAACTAAGAAAAAAAAAATGGGTGTGAGTTTCTTGCCAATGTAAACAAAAAGATTTTTCATATGTAGGCCGACTAAATAGGCGGGCTACACAGATCCACTAAAACACAATCACAAGATAATTCATGTGGGTTACACATGATGTCTTCTTTTCCTTTTCTTCTCTTGTCCCATTCGTCTGGTTAAAACTTTCAGCCTCCAAAGTTGCTCAATATAACATTTTCCTATGGTGGGGGTGGTGTTGGTGTTCAAGTTGCAGGTGGCAGAAATAAGATGGTTGAGGTGCTGAGAAAAGGAATGATAGTATTTCCGCTGGGGGTCTTGAGTTGATTGTATAGAGCTTGACATTGTTGAATGCTCTCTTCTACTTCTACAATAATAATGAGGGGATTTTTTATGTGTTCCTCAAGTTGCCTCTGTGATTTTTTTTACATTAGAATTTTCCATAGGCATTATTGAAAGATGAAATTTGACATGAGGTGGAAGCATGGCCTGAACTACTTGGGGATTAAGTACACCCCCTTATGAGTTGTGAGTTTCATAATGTGTGCTACACCACACCTGAAAAGAAAAAAAAAAAAGAGTTGCCTTGCTCTTGGAAACCTGCATTTTGAGAGAGAGGTCAGAATATCCAAATTCAAATATTAGCTAGTATTCACTTTGTTTTTCTCCTTTTACAAACTTTAAAGGTTATCAATTACTTTTGATTTTACTTATTTTTCTTAAATATTCATTGGAACATAAACTTCTATTGTTTATTTATTATTAAATTATTTTAAAGTTGCTATGGCTATATTATTTACATTTATCTTCATACTGCTAGTTCGAAATAATTTCATATTCGGCCTCTGAAGGTTGTTACCTGAACCAGTGGAACATTTGCATTGGCGCCATTAGCGTGAGTTTGAATCTCAGAGCAGCCACTTTGTAAAATGAAAACGGAAAAGTCTGTTTTGAGCCCCTCCCCAGGACCTTGCCTTGGCAGGACTGCAACTGGATGATGGCCTTTTCTTTTTATTCCTTTTACTTAACCTCCACCAAAATGAAATTTCTGGATTCCCTATGGCCCCATGCAAAAGTTGCTTTTCCTGCAATTACAAGCATTCTAGTAATAATTTTCTTAGTGCGTATAAATTATCTAGTAGAACATGCATCATTATCTAGTGGACCAAAACTAATTTTTTTTGTAAGTTCTCACTTCTAATATTTACTTCCTTATTATTTGAAGCTTGTAGAGATAATTTTTTGTTTTTATTTTTGTTCTTACAATTAACTTTATTTGTTTTCTATTCTAATTCAGGTATTACCTTCCTTAAGAGAGAAACATGATGAGTTTATGTTGAGGGAGCTTGTGCAAAGGTGGTCAAATCATAAAATTATGGTCAGGTGGCTTTCTCAATTTTTCCGTTATCTTGATTGCTATTTTATTGCTCGGAGGTCGCTTCCAACGCTTAATGAAGTTGGACTCACATGCTTCCGTGATCTAGTATGTATTGATTGTACCCTTTCATTATCTTGTTATCTTTGTATCTGAACTTATTTGTTTAATAGATTTTAATTTAGTGCCTTTTGAGATTTGAAATCTATTGCAGCTGTCCATTATCTTTTACTCTTTTCCTTTTTGTGGTCCTGTTTCCTTCTATGGTATAATCATTGAAGTATGATTGTAACATATATTTTGAATTCAGGTCTACCTGGAGTTGAATGGGAAAGTAAGAGATGCTGTTATATCATTGGTATGTTTTCTTTCTATTGCTTCAACTGCACACACTAGTCATATATTCTGTTTTATTCTACGGTTCAGCTAAAAAAGAGGGAGTTGATAAGGTAAGGACCGGCACCCTAGCCTTTGATAGAGTGTTGGGCAAGGTCTGTGATATAGACCTATAAGAGGGGTGAATAGGATAATAACTGCTACTTGAATCTTAACTAAAATTAGCAAAACTTTAGAGTCAAATTATAACTAAATATTGTAGCTCAATCAATCCATCGAGGAAAATTAGTTGCTCACAACATGGACATGCAGATGCACCAGTGAAAAAAAGCAAAATTAGTTTTCATAGAAGGTAAGTCTGTAGTGAGACTTACCAAACTAACTTGGAATGAAATAATTAAAAATTACTTTGGAAGATTAAATGTTACAGGAGATATTTCATGCGGTTGATCCTATTTGTTTGCGATAAAGACAAGGATGATGATGATAAATCAATTCATCATGCTTATTATACCAATTAAATTAAAGCAGTAAAAAACATGTATCAGGACACCGAGACTTTTATATGGAAAACCCAAACGGTCATGGAACCTATTACAACTAGGTTATTAGTTCCCAAACCCAAGAAGAGACACACAGACTAATCCACCAAAACCTATAATCGAGTTTCCATTCTCATAGTCTGCTCATCAATACAGATCCACAATCCGCTTCTCCAACCAGTGATTTGATCTCCAATGACTAGTTATTCAGATCAATCTCAGATTGATTGAACAGATCTTGGTGTTGTAGCTTGTTTACAGCTCCGTGGCAATTGTTGTCAACACACTTGAGTAACTGTCATGCCTTTAAATTTTAAAACATTGAGATATCTTATTCCAAGACAAATATGGGTATGCCACGTTCCACTATGCACAAATTACCAAGAATATCTAAATGAAGTGTAAGCTCAATAATAGACCAACCGAGTACATAAATCAATACTTAAGACCTACAAAGTCAACCACACTGATTATTATAAAATCAAAACATTACTTTAAGTGTTCCGACATGAATCTCTGGGGTACTTAATAATAACTAAACAATAATTAAAGAACATTAGCCAAGTTCTCAATCTTGCTCCACTGGCGCCTTACTGGAATGTTAAGTAAAAGGGTTAGCCCAGAGCTGAACAAGATCATAGCTCAACAAGTAAACTTATACCATAACTCAATAACAATTGTGTAATATATAATATCACATATATGTGCTTAACTCATAAGCTTCACAATCTCGTTCAATATCTTATATGTTAATTCTCTTGATTAAATTCATGAACCTTAAGCATGGTTTAACATTTGTTCTTTTTAGTTCATTATATAAGGAAATGCCTCCAAATCTTAGGTAAGGAGCACATCCAACCTCTCAGGTAAGGAGCATATCCAACTTTGTAGGTAAGCAATTAATCCAACTTTTCTAGTACATTAGGTTGGGAATACAACCAACCTCACATGTAACAACTTACTCAACAATAGGTAGAGAACATATCCAATATCCCATGTGGAACGAATCCGATGAGGTAGGGAACACCTCCAACCTTGTGGAACACATTATACCTTCAAATTTACAAATTTCTAACTAAAAGTATTCTCACCTAATTCATCACAATAATGTTTTTAGTGTTAATTAAGTATTTACAATTAGCTCGCTAACACAGTGTAAGTTTTATACATAATAGTTGAATTGGTTACCATCGTACACAAATGGAAAATTTTCGTACTGACTGATGTTTCTTCTATACTAAACTGCTCCATATATGTTATAGGAAGAGTTACAGTTTAAATGCATTATAGCATTAGCACCCTTACAGTTGTTCATATATGGATTCGATGCGCGATCATTAGTTTACTAATATTGTCGCTTAGCAACCATTTTTTAGAAAAACACAGAACAGAAAAATAAAGGTGCAATGGTAAATAATATACTCACCTGAGAGATCAAAGCACAAAACAATTTAAACTCTAAAAAAGTTGGCATTGAAAGATTTCCTTGGTAAGCAGAAAAAATTGAAAGAAAGAAAGCAATATTTAGTTTGGAATCTTGTAGAGAGAAACAGATTAAGTTCTTTGTATCTCGATTATTGGCAAAGAGAGTGGAGATCTCCCACTAAAATAAACATGATGGAGGAGAGATAAAGGATAGTAGATTTTAAACCTAAAGGCTAAAGCCCTAAGCCCTAAGCGCTTTTTATTTAGGATGGGAATAAAAAGGTAAATAAAAAATTAGTTTTCTTGGTTGTAGGTGCAACAAGCTTACTCACTCACGTGAACTTTGTAAATAGTGGATCATGTGATTCCTGTTTGATTTGCATTTATATTCATTAAATCTCCTCACAATACAATATTTACCTAGCAATTTGTAATGAATAGGGTTAGATCAAATAGAATATTAATATCTGAATATCGGATCATATAATCTCAACAACTATGTTCTATACAGTTTTTTCATTGTTATTTCTTATTTTTTTCAATTGGAAGTAGGCAGATTTGATAAATATATACTTTTTCTAATAATGATAGATCCGAAAGGTATGTTGAAATATATCGGTACTGGTATATCACTATATCCACTGAAACACCCGTGCAAGTATGCAACATCATCATTATTTCCAAGTTTCCTGCTAAGGTTAATCAACAATATCTTCTAACCAGATTGATCATGAGCGCGAGGGAGAGCAAATTGACCGGGCTTTATTGAAGAATGTTTTAGATATATTTGTTGAGATCGGAATGGGGCAAATGGATTATTATGAGAATGACTTTGAAGCGGCTCTGCTCGAAGATACTGCTGCTTACTATTCTAGGAAGGCTTCAAACTGGATCTTGGAAGATTCTTGTACAGATTATATATTGAAAGTAAGCATCTACATTTTTTTTATTTTATATTTTTATATTTTTTTATCTCATTAGCTTAAGAAACATCTTTTTGATAATTTAGATGATTTCTGAGCATATTTTTGAAACTCCAGGCTGAGGAATGTTTGAGAAGAGAGAAGGACAGGGTTTCTCATTATCTGCATTCTAGTAGCGAGCTAAAGTTGCTGGAGGTTTGTTCCGATTCTTGGCCAGATTATATGTTGAAAGTAAGCATCTACATTTTTTTTATAATTTATTAGAAATCTGACTTCATTTTCAGGTAGTTATAAAGATTGGAGGATGTCATAGCATATTGAACTAATTTGCCAGTCATTTTTTATCAGTGAATTTTATGGTTTTTTTCTTATGTTAAAATCAGATTGGATAATCCATGTTGTTATCATTCCTCTGTCATTTGTTTCTGTAGAAAGTTCAACATGAGTTGTTGTCCGTCTATGCAACCCAAGTGCTTGAAAAAGCGCACTCTGGATGTCACGCATTGCTTAGAGATGACAAGGTACTCACTCAGATCATGTGATATTCAAGCGTTTACTGTTTATTTAATTGCAAATAAGTAACGTTTATTGCTGGTTTCGTTTATTTGGTTTTAGGTGGATGACTTGTCAAGGATGTATAGGCTCTTTTCTAAACTACCTCGAGGTTTAGAACCTGTTTCTAGTACATTTAAGCAGGTTTGTAGTCTAAATTGAAGTTCATTTGATGAATAGGGAACCTTTAATATGTGCGTCCCTTTGTTATTATTTCTTTCTTCCTCTCCTTCATATTAAATTATATACTGGTGTTTCTTAATGTAGCATGTTACAGCCGAAGGTACAACATTGGTTAAACAAGCTGAAGATGCAGCAAGCAACAAAAAGGTCTGTATCTTGATTGTTCTATATCAGATCCCATAGTCTTCTGATAAGTTGCAGTTAGTCGCACTGATATTGGAATGTCACTTTGTTGGGCTTGGGGCAGGTTACAACAATTTATCTTCTATTTTGTGTGAATGAAGTGAATAAAGTGGAATTTAATTAATTAAATGGCTATGTAGATTTTCCGTACCACATGTGCAACTTTAAAGTGAATGTAATTGTTTGATGTAGTTGTGTAGCTCATTGCAATTTTAGTTGTCTATTCTAACATTTTCTTCATTGGCCAAAATCCTGTGTATATAGTGAATTTACCTGTTTCTTATGTATTCTTAATTAGGTATTTTCTATATGATGAAACATTGATTTGGTAGGTGTTGATATTATCATACCCTGTATTTGCTACTCAAATTTTGTTTTATCAAGTAAATTGTTAATCATTTGTATCTTGGATCTCTGAGGTTCTTTGTAGCCTTAATATAAATTTACAATATATTACTTAATAACCTTGGAAGCAAAGAGGTGTGACTTTTTTTTATCAAAATTTATTTCTTCTTCTTCTTCTTCTTCTTCTTCTTCTTCTTCTTCTTATCAATAATTAATTGTATTTCAAATATTATTAATTCGCATGATATTCCCACTTTGGTATGATTATAAAAAATTATTAATTCGCATGATATTCCCATTTTGGTTTGTTCATAATGCAATAAAGTTTCTTATAGTTAACCAAGCTTTTGGGATAATGTTTTCTTGATTTTTTTTATTATGCATTTCCATCTTACTGAATTGGTGTCGACTAATTTTTTTGTTTATTTGTTTTTTTCCTGTGGTTGATTGGTTTCCTATTAGTGAACTTGCATATATCTTTTGCAAATATGTTGTGCCTGTTTATTGCTTACAAAGGTTGTGCTTTTCATTTACAAAATTTTGTTCTGTGAGAAGAACATATATCCTCATGCATGACTTAGCAGCAACCTATTTGATTTTGTTAACTGGTTCTCATGCTAAGAACTTATTTTCTTACAGGCAGATAAAAAGGATGTGGTTGGTTTGCAGGAACAGGTAATTTTATAATACTTTAGTTTCATAATTTGGCAGTACATTTCATGTGCAGGAACTAACTAACTGTGGGAACTTCAGGTTTTCGTTAGAAAAGTAATTGAGCTACATGACAAGTACCTGACATACGTAAATGACTGTTTTATGAATCATACCCTTTTCCACAAGGTTTGAACTACAGACTTACTGCATGATTGAGTTATTCCATCTTATAATTCTTCCCTTTAGAATATCTCGTGTTTTCTTATAGGCACTCAAGGAGGCTTTTGAAGTCTTCTGCAACAAGGGTGTTGCTGGAAGTTCGAGTTCAGAACTACTAGCTACATTTTGTGATAATATTCTTAAAAAAGGTGGAAGTGAGAAATTGAGTGATGAAGCCATTGAGGAGACACTTGAGAAGGTGTGCTGCTCACTCTTTTTTGTATTCCAATTGACCTATTTGCAAGATGTAGAAAGTTACAATTAATGTATATTTAATCTTCAGGTTGTGAAGCTGCTTGCCTACATATGCGATAAAGATCTTTTTGCTGAATTCTATAGGTAGATTATCTAATTTTTTTGGTTAGTGTATTGTGAGTCATTATGGAATGCAATTATTGTATCATTCGATTCATTCATAGATAATTCAGTTGATGTTCCAATTGGTGGCAGAAAAAAACTTGCTCGGCGGTTACTCTGGGACAAGAGTGCCAACGATGAGCATGAGAGAAGCATTCTGACAAAGTTGAAGCAGCAATGTGGTGGTCAGTTCACTTCAAAGATGGAGCGCATGGTAAGTTGTCCTGGATGATGATGTTTTTATGGACACTTGGGATAATTATGAATATTCTTTTATTGCTTTGCTATCTTCTAGGTCACAGATCGGACATTGGCACGAGAAAATCAATCGAACTTCGAGGAATATCTCAGCAATAATGCCAATGCGAATCCCGGGATTGACTTGACTGTTACTGTCCTGACCACTGGATTTTGGCCTAGTTACAAGTCATTCGATCTGAACCTCCCAGAAGAGATGGTATACTTTCAGAATTTTATATTCTGAGGCCTTTAAAATCTAGAACTCCTCCTGCTAATGTGAACTTGTGGAGTTTATGTTTAATAGAATACTCATCCATACTGAATCAATATTGCTTTTCTCTTAGGTCAAGTGCGTCGAAGTTTTCAAAGAATTCTATCAGACAAAAACAAAGCACAGAAAACTTACATGGATATTTTCATTGGGTAGTTGCAACATCAACGGAAAATTCGACACCAAAACTATTGAGATGATTATGACAACCTACCAGGTTAGTCATTCAAGAAAGTTTATTTTTCACGATTCTAATGACACAAACTTGGAGTCTTGACATTTTCTTTCTGTAGGCTTCTGTTCTTCTGTTATTCAATGGATCGGATAGACTGAGTTATCAGGAAATCGTCACTCAGTTAAACTTAACGGATGATGACGTTGTTAGATTGCTCCATTCACTGTCATGTGCCAAGTATAAGATTCTTAACAAAGAGCCGAACAATAAAACAATCTCTCCCACGGATTACTTTGAGTTTAACTCCAAATTCACCGACAAGATGCGAAGGATCAAGGTATTGGGATTATTTTCCAGCTGTGTTAGTTTTCCTTCTTTTTCTACTGATATTATGTATGATGAAAATCCGTTTACCAATGCAGATTCCACTCCCTCCCGTGGATGAGAAGAAAAAGGTAATTGAAGACGTTGACAAGGACAGACGTTATGCCATTGATGCTTGTATCGTGCGCATCATGAAGAGTCGCAAAGTTCTGGGCCACCAACAGTTGGTTATGGAGTGCGTCGAGCAGTTGAGTCGGATGTTCAAGGTAAGAGCACTTCATTTTCTCAATTCTATTATGCTCAGCCGTTGTTTTCCTCATTTTTAACCCAACGGAGTAAAATCCATCCACAGCCTGATTTTAAAGCAATCAAGAAGAGGATTGAAGATCTAATCACCCGAGACTATCTAGAAAGAGACAAGGACAATCCGAACATGTTTAGGTATTTGGCATGATTTGGCAAGCTGATAACCCAGATGAATTTGTTACTGCAATGCTACCAGGCAATTAGCTCGCTCAAAAAATCTTACGACGGTGGAAGCCCGAGCACAAAGCACCAATTATTCCGTCGTGGGAGCTTTTGATAATTTGTATATTTTGCCCTCAAGTCAGGTGAGGATTATTACTACATATTCCATTCATGTTGAAAAAAAAAAAAGAAAAAAAAATTGTAATTAGTTTTCAGTTTGTGTTTCAATTCCTCCTGGATGACTCTGTTGACGCTGGTATTTTAGTTATTTTTCAGAGTACCTGTTTTAGTTCAGTTTAGTTTTGAACTTCTTTATGGGTTTTTTTTTTTTTTCACTGTAGATTGTGTTTAAATTTTTTTTTGATTTTAATCAAAAGAATAAAAAGAAACGACTTTTTATTTTTTATTTTTTATTTTATTTTCCCCCTCTTAAACATGATTATCGAGTCGGTCAACTAGTGGTATAAAATGATTATCATTATCATGCTTTATGTTAGAAAATTTTAGTTACATTTTTTAATGTTAAGACTTGGCCTCAAAGGAGTAACAAGAATATCCAGCCAAAATCAGCGAAACGGTCATATCTTACACATTAAATTAGGTCAAATTGTAGGGCTTGAAGTCCGATTTTCAATAGTACAGTCCCGTTCATGAAATTCCAACCACATGGTCTTGAAATCCCAACCACATGGTCTTGAAATTCCAATCACATTCAAAAGTGAGGTGTGGTCATGAAAAAATCTCTTAATCCGAGTTTGCCTACTTGTGGGGAAATCATTACCCACTCGCTAGAACCTTATAGCATGTTTTTAATTGGTAGGGACGACCCGATTAAATTTCATTTGAGTCGTTTAGAGTCAACTTACTCTCCTTCTTTGTCTTGGAATGACTAATTTACCCGACTTAGTTTTGGGACTTGAGTAAGAATCCGGTTTGCATTCTTTTTCGTTCATGATTCAGGTCCTATGGATCCGGGTCGTGACATTTTCGTTCTTGATTCAGGTCCGGGTTGTGACAGAAGTTTGAATATATAGGTTTACGTAAAAAAAATTTATTTATTTTATTTTTATATGTAGAGAGAGCTTCGGGTAAGTTCAGAAAAAAAAATTATTTCTCATTTTGTAATATTCAGGACGGGGCTGATTGGTTTATTGTAACGCATGGCCCTTGGGGTCAAGGTTCATTCTCGCTTGAGGTGAGCCCATTCTGGTGTGCCAAAAAGTTAGAAAAGCAAGTCTAGAATTTGAAAAAGAGAGATATTTCGGTGAAACGCCGACAAAGCTTCTAGCGATCAAATTTAGAATCCAACGAGGTTTCAATAAAGTTTTTGAAACTAGATTTCGATGAGGTTCCGATGAAGATTCTAACAATCAAACTTGGATTCTGGCGATCGGAATGAAAATTCCGTCCAAGACAAAATTAAGAATACCAAATTGGTTTTATTTTCAACTTATATTTTTATATTCATAGTTTTCATTATACGCAGTATATTATTTATTCAAAAGTTATTTTCAAAGGAAAAGTTCTTTAAAATTATTTAAAATTGGAAATTATGTTTTGAGTTTAAATTTAAATTTAAATTTCTCAAATTAAATTTTATTATGAATATAATGTGAAGATATGAGTACATGAGTTGGCAGGAGTTGTATTAATATGATGTCATTTTTTTTTTTCTCTATTTATTTATTTATTTATTTTCTTTTTCATTCATTTATTTTTTTTTTTTTTCAATTTTCAATATTTCTCCTATAAGTTTATTTACTCCACCAACCTATCATTTAAAGAATGTTGGGTGGAGAAAAATCAATTTATTCTTTAGGAGTCATGCATCATTTATGGCCAAACTCATTGAATGGTACCCCATTTTACCTTTCTAAACCGTGTTATATGTTGAAAATATGTACTTACACATTAAATTTCTATTTTATTTATGAGTTAAATGCTCTGACACTTCTCAAGGTTTGCCTTTATTACTCGCATATTAAACTAGTGGAAAAAAAAAATTGTCTAAACCTCCCCTCAAGTTTGGTTAACTTTGCCATAAGACCCTCTTTTGTTAATTAACAATTAAAAAATTCAGAAGTCAATAAATTAAAAAAAATATAATGTCAAAGCTACCCTTGATTAATGAAGATGAGATGTATGAGGTCATAAATGAGTGTTTTTATTTATTTATTTATTTATGAAAAGAGTATATAAATATAGAACAAAATAGTACATAAGAACATATGAGGGCATACCCTCGTAAGGGAAACAAACCAAGTCCTAAAAAGGACAAAAATTACCTAGACCAAAAGCAACAGAAAATTACAAAATGTCTGGTAGGTTAACCCTCAACACATCAAGAACCTCCCATAGTATACTTTTAGCTAGCTCCTTAGCCTCTTTTTCTTGCTTATCATGTAAACGATTATTCCTTTCCCACCATATGAAATACAATGTTGCAGTAAACATAACTCTAGCCATCTTCTTGATATCTTTTCGTTGTTGATTTTGAATAAACTGAGTTGCTAATTCGTGAACTCCTAAACCCCTCTGCAAATGCCATCCACAAATTTCAGTCAAGAAACACCATACTTTCTAAGTATAATAATTATAGAACAAATGATCCAAAGTTTCAACATCTTTATAGCATAGATAGCATCTTGTTGCTATATTAAAACCTCTTTTCTGCAAAAAAATTCTGAGTTATAATTGCTTTATGCATAAACAAAACAGAATGAACCGACCATCTTGGCCTCCCCCCACTCCAACATAAACCAACCCAAACCACATCCTCCAATTTCACTCTAGCAGCTTCCCATGCAGCTTGGAAACAAAAATGTTGAATCCATTTAATTTGATCCACCCCACCTGTTATCAACTGATTTTTAAACAGCAGCATCAACTCCTGTGTAGTGTTGCTTAAACTTGTCATCATCCCATTGACCATCTGTAATGAAATCACACAAACTAATCTTCTCATCACAACTCAAGTACCCAAGAATCCTATGGTTAAAAAGTTCTCTCAAGAACCTGCCTTCACACTAAGGATCCATAAATACCTTAACATTCTGCCCAGTTCCAATAATGTATCTGCAATTGACCTTCACAAGCTCTCTAACATCAATAATACTCCTCCAAACAGCTGAATAAGCAACTTTAGTCATAAATGAGTTTGAGAACTAGGTCATAGATGACGTGGATTTTGACTTTTTTTTGTTTCATTTTCTATTAAGTTGAATGTTTAATTGAAGTATATATTAAACATATTGTGAAATTAGATTAATTGATTGTTGGATGTTTAATTGAGGCATATGATTGGTAAAACTAATTATATATTTCATGATGACTAATGTTTTAGTGTTTCCAATCAATTCAATTTATTAAATGAAGGAAGACAAAGGAAAATTAAAAAAAAGAAGAAGAAAGAAACAAAGAAATAAATAGAGAAAAAAGATAACATCATATTATCAACATTATATAAATTATATTAAGTAATCATATTGTAGTCGAATTATATTGTTGGCTTAATCAGCTAAATTGTGTATCAAGATTCAAAATTAATTTTATAATAATTTCATTGGATTGATTTAAAAATAAATATATTCATAATATTAATCCATTTTATAATAATTTCATTGGATTGATTTAAAGAAGAAACTAGGAACAAAACCAAATTGGGAACACTAGAAGTTGTTTTTCGGATTTTTCATGAGATGCCCAATCATGGGTGTATTCCAGACTCTTACACACATGGTATATGCACTTCTTTGACTCATAACTTATGTCTAGACTAAAATGATATATCTAAGTTAATTTAAGTTGATATTTGTGTCCAAATTAAAATAACTTAAATTGGGGAAGAGTAGTTTTAGCATTATATTTTTTTAATTAGTTGATTTTTGACTTCTCTAACTATGGGTGTCAGGGCTAAGTTAACCAAATTTGAGAAGAGGTTCAAGTTTTTTTTTTTTTTTTTTTAATCTGTGAGCAATAAAGGCATACCTAGGAAGGTGTCGGGGCATTTAACCAATTATTTAAATAAATAATTCTATCAAAAGATTCTACATGACAAGAGTTCTAGCTTTCCTTATTTAATTATTCTATTAAAATATTTGTTAAATAATTAATTTAAGTTTTTACGTATCTCAAAATATTATCTCAATAAGTAATTTATATTGATTAATAAAAAATCGATCGAACACTACTTGAAAAACAACTCTTCTTCTCAGAAACGAAATGTTCCTCAAAATTATTACTCCCATTGGACCATTTGTATCTATATGCATTAAGATCCCGATTCATGAATCTCTCAGTTCGAGAAATAAAAATAAGATTCAACAAATTTCTATAAGACATTAGTAAGAGTTAAGTCTGTCAATTAAATATTTTATAAATACCCAAACTACGACTAAGTGAGAGAAAATGAATCAAATGACCTTTTTAGTATACCAGATAATCATTATCATATAATTCAATATTTTTGTTGTCAAAACGAAGTACTTAACAAATAATTCATATGATTCAACAAAATAGACATTGGCTAATAAAAATTCATCCTCTGATTCATCGACAAACCACTTGTTAAAAATTACTCCCACAAAAATTTACCCTTATGGAATAATTGTTTTCAACCACCCACAATTTTTTTTTTTTCGACTCTGCAAAAATAATCCATAGAGGTAGATATAAGAAAGGATAGTTTTGTCCCATTATAATTCGTTGAAATAGTCATTTGATATTCTAATAAGGTTATTTGAGTTATTTTCTCTTATTTAAGGATAATTTAGGTATTTAAAAAATATTCCATTGATTCATTAGGTGGTCAAAAAAAATTGGACAAACCTCACACTAATTTGTAAAAGGAATCACATTAAAGAGAAAGACCATTACGCCTTATCTTTTATTCTTTATTTTTATTTTCATTTTCATGCCAATCCTTCCTTTCTAAAGCTATCTTTTTCTTTTCTTTTCTTTTTTCTTGAAGTTGGGGTGTTCATTACTTTGCCCCACTAATTTACGGGACCTCACTTCCCAAATCTAGTAAACTTAGACTATATATGCGGATATGACTCCTAAAAAATTATTTGCATCTAAAAAATATATGTGGATAGACCAATATTCTCTTTTCAATTCAAATCCTCGGTGATAAAAATTTGTACAGGCAAAGAAGATGAAGAGAAGCAATTGAGGAAGATACTTTTGACATTGTTAACGAAGGAAAAAAAAATTGTCAATGAGGGTATTTTTATTTTTATTGCATATTGTTAAGATGAGGGTATTTTGGTAATTTCAAGAGACTTCAGGAGGAT